CAAAGTAGCTGGTACAAAGCTTGATATACAATAGATGCCTGAGCTCACAGATTGTCTGTCTCCAATGAAATCCCTGGCTATCATTCATTATTTTAATTTTTTATATTATCATCTTATAGAACAGCAGTAATAGTAGCGATGGTCATGCTGGTATTACACTGCAACCAAACTCACACATGTTGAATAGCGATGACGAGCGACGTGTTAATCTAGTAGTAGAGTCTACGCCCACTGGGTTTATAGGCTTTACTCTTCGYGGTGGTGCGGAATATGGACTGGGTATCTATATATCAGGGTAAGATGATGCTTCTTTCTTATGACATTTTTGTTACCCTATTTATGTTTAGCCTATTAATGACTCACACAAGTGGTATAATAATTGTAGTTTTGTGAAAAAAGACACCAAAAAATGACCACAATGAATTTAAAATAATTTTGTTCATTGATCACTACTGCACTGGCCGAAGGGAAGTACTAAATATTATAATGATCATATTGTCGTTGGAATTATAAATATTGTTTTGGTTGGATGATCTGTTATGATATCATGCTGCTGAAAACCCTTTCATRACTTCTCAATTATTGAAGTGTAGAAATTTGTATTTTTTAAGTTAATAGTGTAAGCAAGTTGAAACCTATTGAAAATATTAAGAAACATTTTAAAAGATATTTTAATGGAACTAAGAAAATGTCTATCTGCAAGGACATATTTTTTAATCAATATTTCCTTCACAATTTTTCAAAGACAAAACACTTCAATCTTACTTTTTGATGATCTGTTTAGGGTTGATCCAGGGTCTCTGGCAGAGGAAGCTGGCTTTCGTGTTGGAGATCAAATTCTGGATGTTAATGGAAAAAACTTTGAGAGCATAAAGCACAARGAAGCTGTGGATTTTATTAAAAGTAACAAACACATTATTGTAACGCTAAAGGTGAGAACTACAAGAAACATTTTCCCTAGCCTGCTGACAGGCATTCCTGCTGGGGGGATATACCTWCTCGTCCTCCCTTCCCCCCAGCAGGAACATCTGTTWGCAGAGTACATTTACATTTCCCCTGTWAAATTACGCTGAGTTCCTAGCGAGGGCAGCAAAACAAGGAATAACCAAACCATTTTAAAATATTAATTTAACATGGCTATGTTGATGTTGAACTTCTTGATAATTTCATGATTTTTTAGGCAGTCGGAAAGCTACCCGAAGCTAAACATTATACCTCAGAGATAAGCTGGATTTACCCTGATGGTACTATTCTCAAAGGTTGGTTAATATTATCATGATTTAATATGTAAAATAATATAATATTATATCACATTCTTGCTATATTGATTGTGGTCTTCATTCAGTCATCCACTGCTCTCTTTATATTATTTCGTTGATTTAATATTTCTTTTAAGTCTTTAATTACTCTTAAATAGCTAATAATGCAAATCTAGTAATTAAGTTAGGTAAAGCTACTTACTTTGGTAAAGTCTTCTAAAATTAGTGAATCACACTGATTTGTATGCAATTCTGGATGAGCAAGGAAAAAAATAGCAATGGAGCTAGTAAGGGGGTGACTTAATGAGCATTTATTTAATGTTTGCATTTAATAAAAACTTTTTGTTTTGTTTTTGTCAATGATAMATTTGTTTATTTTTCTATCCTGSCATTYATTTTCCAGAAGGAAAAGAGATATTCTCAAGATCATTATCAGCACCAATGACATCATCAACRCCGTCACCAATAGAACACTCCTCCACACAATTCCCTGACATTGAACTAAACAACAACACAACACAAACCAGACCTGAATCACGGGAATGTGGTGTACAAACCCCCCCTGACTCATCTCCTCAATACAAGATGGAAATTGACACWCAAACAACTGACGCTGTTCCTGTGAGAGACATTGACCTTACAAGAGCACAAAGTGCTGCAACTATTTCAATAAGTAGTGGAGATGATACAGAAAAACGTCACTCGGCCCACTCWAGTACACATTCTGTTGATAGTGGTAACAGTAGAGATGATGCTGAGAAGAAGTTCCTTACCACCAGTAGTGCTGGTAGCGGTGACTATGTTCATTTACAGTCAGCTGGTAGTGATAATGAAGCTGCAGCTAAYGAAGAGAGTAAGAAGAAGGTGAAGAAGTCCAAGTCATTCCTTCAGAAACATGGCGAYAAGATTAAATCAAAATTGAGTTTTAGGAAGAAGAGTAAGCCTAAGGTGGAATCAAAGACAGGTATGTGTACATAATAATAGAGGGTATTGCATGGATCAGCAGAGATATGAATTTTATCTTCTGGCCTCTTGAGATATTGTATTTTAATCCACACAGGAAGTTAAAATTTATATCTCCAAGTGACCATTGATATCTCAATGAAACTAAAAAAACAGAGCTCAAAAACTTTGGTGTACTGTAGCTGCTTATTTTCCATGTGATTGTCATTTGCATTTGTTKTCATGCAAGTTTTTTCTCATTTCTCCAATTTTCTTCCCATTCGCTATTTCCATGCATTCAGCTCTTCCTTATCTATTCCATACACCAGGTGGTCCTACTAAGCAACAGCTTTTGCTTTATGTGGAAGAACGTGCTAAAAAGATTCTTGTTGTAGAGGAATATAATGCTATTGTCAATGATATCAAACAGGTAATAACAACAGCTATTATTAATAATCATTGATATTATCTGATCGCAATGATCATCATTAAAATGTGACCTTTAACTAGGCTCTGCATGGCTGCTGAAGGTGAATTTCATACTGTGTAATGTTGTAAAAACACCTGGTGGAAGCAGAGATGGATATATCTGTAAATGGTTCTAACTAAAAACCTTTGTACTAGTAAATTATTGCTTTTTTTAGAGTATTATACAACTAATTATAGATGGCAGCATGACATTTTCCATAGTTTATGCTGCAATAGCTCATCAAGTTAATCACTCATAATTTTTGTTTCACATGATTATCCAGTTTGTTTTGTTACTCAAATCACCATGGTTATTGTTGTTACTATGGTTACATTGTTTTGCACATGTTACCATGCTTATATTGTTTTGTTTATGAATCTCAAGAAATAGTCCATCAGTAAGTCTCTCCAGACATTGTGAAATAAGAAAATTAATGCAAATCCCTCTACTTTAACAAATACTAGCTGGAAACAAATTCAAAATTTTTTGACTCTTATTATTTAGTACTTGGATGATTCAGATGTTGAACTATTGGTGAACAAACTGCTGGCCATTTTGGATAAACCAGAGAAAGCGTTATTACTACGTGACGTCAGGTACATATACCTCAAACTCAACAATCTATCATTTATAGTAATTGCCGTAATTATAACAAGTTGAGATTGCACCAAGCAAGAAAGATAATAATAGCATTTCATTTCCAGGACACTGATATCTCCTTATGACCTTGGCCGTTTTGATGCTATGGTATCCGCCCGTGAGAAAGATGCTTTAGAATATCTGAGTGTCTGTGTTCCAGGTTAGTTCTGAAGCTTAAGCACTTAGTCTATAAACAATAATAAGATTTAATCTAAAAAATCAATRGAGAGAAACTTACAGTCATTTAAAAGAAGCATGAAAGTGAAAGCTTTGAAGTGAGAAACATTCATCAATCTTTTGTGGTTTACAACTAATATTATTATAAATAATTAGTAAACCTACATGTAGCTGTAAACCACAAAAGATTGATGAATGTTTCTCACTTCAAAGCTTTCACTTTCATGCTTCTTTTAAATGACTGGAAGTTTCTCTCGTCTAATTTTCTTTGTATTAATACAGGTTCACCTACATCAATATTGCCAACACAAGTTGAGAAACCAAAGCGTCAGCTTATATCTGTAATCCAAGGTTAGTAATAGAATTTGAAACAAAAATAAAGAATGGGTTCCAAAATTGACAGCACTACACTTCACTTCAGTTTGTGTGCTCAATCATTTTGTGATTGACATCCACAGTCACACCACATTTCTATTTATTAAGAAATATAAAATGGCGTGCGTGTCTCTGTCCTCTGATATAAACACGGTGGGAGTTCGAAAAACACGAGAGAAGCAAGCAAGTGTTTCTCTTGCTTCTCGAGTGTTTTTCAATTTTATAATTTTAAATAATTAATGAATTGTCTTCTATGTACACAGATAGTAGAGGTGGCTTTCAAATAAGAAGCAAAGAAGAACTAGAAAAACTAAAACAAGAAAGAGAAGCTCAAGCACAGATGGCAGCAGCTCAAAGGGCGTGGCTTGGTGGAAACATCCTTGACAGACAAGCTCGTCTTGGAACCTCAGAATACTATGCAATTAGGTCAACCACACCAGAAGCTATTGAGATGACTCCAGTGCATGACAGTGGACCATTGCAAGGTAGTGCCCAAACCAACCCTAACCCAGTCCCTCCTCAATTCAATCCTGGCCCAGTCTCTCTCAGTGTACCTGTCATCCAAGTAAACAATGACAACTCAAATGATCAAGATGTTGCCATGGAAACAATGACCAGTCCAAACACCCTTTCAGTACCTGACAGAGTTTCAGTAGAGTATAAGGATGATGACGAGGAAGAGATGCCTCAGATTGGCAGCCATCAGTCAGCTTTCTTCAGTGTTCCATCAACATCGTCAGCAATCCCAGCCATACAGGAGGGTGTGCTAATTCTTTTACCAAAGAATAGAACTAGCCTGGGTAAGATGCMACAAACTCTAATTCTTGGTTACTRCAGTGTAAGACAATATTTGAACACAAGCAAAGAATTATTATAGTGAATCAAATCCTCTCCCATCCAACCCCTCTCCATCCCAAACCACATCTTCCCTGCCCCGCCCCCCACAAAAACACACACACACAAAAAGAAACAATTGAAGATGACTTAAAAAATGTTAATTCTTATGAATATGAAAGCAGATCTTCTCTCCAGAAAAACTTAGCCTGCGTTACATCCGGAATATTCTTCGATATATGAAATTACCGGGATGTAACTCAGGCTAGAAAAACTCACATTGAGACAAAATCAAATCTGAAAAAAGTTGCTCAGTGAATACGACAGTGGATTAATGGTTTTCATTTTATTGAATCTCTTGTTATCTCTCTCTATCAGGAATCAGTATTTCAGGAGGCAAAGGATCAAAAATGCAGCCAGAAATAAGAGTTGAAAAGATCTTTCCTGGTGGTGCTGCACATGATGATGGCAGGCTCAAGGTATGTTCARTGTGACATGAATTTTTATTGAGTAAACATCTATCATTTTTCTGTTCAAAAACCACTCAGATCTATAGTTAAAATGAAATTTATTCTCGTCCTTTTGTTTAGAGTGGTGATGAAATAATCTCTGTGGATGGTTCCAGTATGCGTGACGTGACGCACGCTGAAGCTGTAGATATCATACGCCGTTCATATAACGACAAGAGTAAGGGAGTCATGGAAATCACAGTAATCCCAAAGCAATAATATACTCAAGTGAACAATTAATTTAAAAATGTTTAACATTGGGATTGTCCAAGCACAGCATGTACCAAAACTGTTCTTATGTATAAAAWCCGTTTTGGTTTGGCTGCATGCAGGCTTGTCTTACTCTAAAATCTACATAGATGTATTGTTAATCAGAGCTTTAATTGTCCTCAACTTGGATCTTGCACTTGTTGTGCAAAGGGTAGTATAGACAAGGGAGCTTGCTCTCGCAAAAAGCCTCCACCGTCTGCACGTCCAATAATTTCAGGCCCCCAAAAAATGTTATGTCACAACAAACGTTTTGCTCACAAGCTTTGCTCCATCGTATCAAATTATTCAAATATGAAGAAGCAGGCTCGCATTGAGTTAATCCTCTGTTTGCAATCAAAACAAACTGCCAGTACTCCATGTAACAGTTCCCAAGGACACCCCGATAAAATGGTGTTARATTTAAAGGAAGTATGTATTTTCACCTAATTTCCATTATTTTGAATATTGTATTTACACATGTATATGAGTGAAACAATGATTTAGATRCCTAAGTCATGCACACACAACTCTTTTTCCTCTTTCAGTCTTTCATTTTGTACAAAGTWAATCATAGTTTGGTGCTTGTTAAGGCATAGGCTACCCAACTATTGCTTGAGAGAAAAAGAACGAATGCGCACGCCTTTACGCTGGTGTTATCGGCGCGCGCTCTTAGCTAAATGCGGGTTACCTGTGGCATTACGTCAGTGATCCCTTACCTCGCGGGATCAAAAACTAAGASCGCCTGCCGATAACACCAGCGTAAAAGCGTGCGCATTCATTCTTTTCTTTCTCTCAAGCAATAGTTGGGTAGCCTATGGTTAAGGAGGCAAATTTTATAGAAGACTTGTATTAATKGTATTAAATATTTTTAGGGCCAAATTATTGTCTATTACATTTCCACATTTTGTTCAACATTCTTTTCATTCTTTTAGTGCTTTTAGTCAATAGAATCTCACATAATCAGACATTTTGTACRTTCTATAAAATTATGGTAATTTGCAGAGCATCAGCCAGTGCACAMTCCAGGGATACATGATTGTCTAATTTGGATAAAATAATTGTGACTTGTGAGTAHCATAACCTTGCAGTCACAGACTAGTACCCAGTCGTTGCTCTTCTTTTTTCCTTGGTGCGCGCAAAGGACCAAGGGAAGTCGGAAGAGAAAATAACACCACTCCTTTCCTTCACCCTTCCCATCATGCATTGCGCGCTGCTTGAGAGAAGCAACTGGGTTGGAGTCTGTTGCAGCCATTCACAAGATATGTAAATAGCATGAAAAATACATTTGTTTTGCGGAAAMGTTATTGTCAATGGGAAAATATCCAAAACACAATTATATAGCTTGGTCATAAACATTTGACTTGACAATAACAATCCTTTTGTTTAGAAATTATATTTTTTTACAAAAGGGTTCTTTTCAAGGGAATTTTTAAAGTTGTAAATAAGGTATCATGATTATTTGTATTGAATCTTTTTATAATCTATAGCAATCGATGTAATATGCTTCTTAATGTGACAGCAATAATGACACAATTTACGGCAATTTATGTACGGCAAAATTTGATT